TTAGCAATTTATTAAATCAATGAGCTTCTGATTCGGGATCTGAGTGTGAAATGAAAATTCGAGAGGCTTATGACCAATTGTTCGATGAGTGTTTTAAGTTGAAAAAAGTGAATCGCTTTGCCTTTTAAAAATTGTATAAGCATGAATTAAAAAAAAGAGAGCATTGTAAATAAACTTGAGTCTACCAAAGGACCAAATGAATTAAGGGTTAATAAAGAGTCCTTAGAAATTAAGATTAAAACTCTTATAAATGATATTGAATAGTCAAATGCGCAACTTAATCCTTCTCCAACGAATCTAAGAAGATTGATAACACGATAGATCTGAAAAAAATAGATAGGAATAGAAGAAATGTAGGTTTTAATGAAACAAATTCTCATATTACTTCTTTTTCAGAAGCTTAAGGTTTAAAACTTAAAACCTAGAGTTGCTTTTATATTCATCTCCACATGTCTCCATTGTGATAAGATAGGATAAATAAAATCTAAGTGTCGCTAGCTCTTGAATATGAACATTACCTAGAATGTAAGTGTCCAAGAACTGAAATCATCTGTACAACATAATTACCTCTACCTAGGGTCTAAAATTTGAAATCTATGATTGTTCCTAAATTTATTCCTACATGTCATAATTTTGGTGTTTGAGGTCACATTAGACCTAATTGTCATAAGTCCTTTGTCAGGAATAACAGTCAAGATCTAACTACTCGTGTAAGTTTCTTGACTAACCAAGTAAGTCACTTGACTGATTTGATGATTCAGTTGACTAAGATTACATATTTGTATGAGAAGATTTAGGTCACAAGGAATGATATTGTAGGTCAAAGTGATATTGTTGATTGTGGTATTGCTCGCGTTTCTTTTCATGATAAGAGAACTTTTGTACTTTATTGAGTAGATACTTATGTTCATGCATCTATATTATTTATGATATCTATATATTTATGCATGCACGTCCATTCATTATATTTTAGGAGTTTCTTTTACTTTATTCTTTATTACAAAAAAATTGATAAAAATGAAAAAAAAAAAAGGAAAAAGATTTTGTTTTTTGAATATACTATTTTGCTATCAAATACCAGTTAGGTTCATAATTGGTAAATTAATTTTTTATTAATTTGTTTAGAGCTTGTTCGGAGAATTAGATATATATGTTATTATATGTATCGTAAACACTATACACATTAGACTGCTGTAAATGTTTTGACTGTGTGTTTGAGATTTGGGATGACGATCATTTGTGTGATGAGTTGACTTTAAATATGGAATGACCTTTAAACTAATTGATCTAAACTATTATCTATTCCCCTTGAAAGAAATTTTTTTGAATTACATAAAATGTTGTGAGTTAATATTATACTTTTTTTCGTAACGTGTATGACTTAAGTGATTAAGTTTGTAGGGTATCTTAAAACCTGGTGTTCTATAACTTATCTAACTTTGGAGCTATTGGTCTAAAACTCATTACAGGGGTCATGTAGAAAATTTAATAAAGAGGAGTCTGAACATAAAATTTGAAAATTCAATGAAAAATATACATATATATGTGCTCACAGATAGGGGGAGAAAAAAATGTATACAATTAATTATAAGCTTTTTAATTTATAAAGGTCTTATTAATATTGGGTTTGACTTCATATTTTGAAGAATATATTCAGTTGTTAGTGATTCTTTGCACTTCATTTTTCATTGATTTAAGGTTTTGAAACTTGCTTATATAAGTTTAATGGCACTTTTCACACATGAATGACTTATACAATTTACTCCACTTGGTTTATAATAAGCTATGTAGGAAAAATTTACTTGTTTATGAACAATGCATATATAAGTAAGCAAATAACTGTTTATAATGATAAAGTTGAAAATTTATGAAAAAGTTAAAAAAAAAAAAAATTGGTCTCAAAATTGGAAATTTTTTGTTCTCCTAGCACATATTTTTGCATCATTATATATGTACATTTTTTTTCTCTGTATTTGACATGATTATTATTTGTCTTTTCTTTGTTATTCGTGATAAAAATGGGGAGAGATGGGTATTTATTTTAGGGAGTTGATTATATGAGTTAGAGTGATAATTTTAAATTTTTTGATTGATACATGACTTAGGGGAATCGTTTGATATATTTGCTGAAATTTTATTATTGATATAGTGTCGTGTTTTGTATATATTGATATAAAATTCTATGGCTCATTTCTAAATTTATAATTCACATGATATTTCATATTTCAATGTTACACCTATTTTATTATGTGTTTTATTTAACTTAGTTATATTATTTTTGGTTTTGTTTGTTTTCTCTTAGTTTTCATGTGGTATTGTAGTTTCCATGTGTTTTAGGAAGTAGGTTGACCAAGTATTGAAGAAAAATTTTGGAAAGATTATTTTTGGGTAGTTTTGGACATTTTGATTTTAAAATAAATGATTTTTTCACGGAACGCCAAATTGGAAGATTTTTAAGTCCAAATTATAATTAGCGCAAATCATGTTCGAAATTCTCACTCACAAGTTGCAATGCATTTTTCACATAAAAATATTGGAATTTTGACAAGACTATTTCCAAAAGATCCGTAGTCATATGAGTTAGCTTTCTAACGCATTTCGAATCATTTTAATCGGATATCGGTAGAGAACGTTATGATGAAAATATTGAAGAATTCTCAACGTCAACTCATCTGTCGCTGTCGCTGGACTAGCGCTTGAGCGACGTGGTTATCTGAAAAGCAGTGACATTCAATTCTCAAGCTGGTTTTGAGTCACTTTTTTTTTATTCAAAACACTACCTATTATAAATATAATGTTATGAGACATCCAAAGTGTGCTCAATCAGATTTATTCCATAGAGATCGATTCTTGGATGATCCAAAACATTCATTGATCAAAATTCAATCACCACATATTACTTGATCCATAAATTCTTTCAAAACATATTTTGTTGATTAATCCATATTATTTCATATTAAATCACATATCAAAACATACAAGATCTTTTGATCAAATACTAAACCATCTAATCCACCGGAGATAAATCGATACAGGGGATCGGGAGCTATTACAGAAGCATAAATTTAGGAAGACTAAAGTGAGGTACCAAGAGTCATGATCTGGCGTCAGGAGCATGCAATCCAAAAGGACTAAGGTATAAACCATGAGTCGATATTTGTTTTGAAAGAGTACACCTCCAATAGGATTAAGGGAGACTGCAGAAATTTGAGTCGGAAGTTATACGGGGTAGACGGGTTTGGACCATATTGTAAGTTTGCTTTGATTTAGTGTGAATTGCTGATTGGTAAAGTGCCTGAATTTTCAGTCAATTGGAATTTCTCCGTGATCATCTTTAGTGTTCTTTACTCCTTTAATTATTGATTGTGGTATTCTAATTTAGAATAAATTAACTTGTTTGATCTGACCATCTAGAAATAATTAAAAATGATTTGTTGCTTTTAATTGTATAATTTTACACGTTGGATCTAAATATTCGATAATTTAAAACTTTCATATTTATTTATTATTAAAGTGGAATTAATTAGTCGTTAATTGGCACAGTTTCATTTTGAAAAATAACTTATCAGCAGCTCAACGGATCTCATAGCCAATTTAGTTTCACAATATTATTTTTACTATTACCGATCATTCGTTAGTTTCACTAAAATTCGTACGTACGAAATTTGTAATAATACAATAAACTCGACATACATGTGAAGTCACTTAGTAAATTAAATAACGTTATTTATAAAACAAAAAAATATCATCGACAACTTAAATAAATGAACTTTGAACTTACATGAAGCATTTCACATCTAGAAAGTTTTATGTCTCTTTCATGGATACATGATGGATATTATCTAGACATTATATTGTAACAACTACTAACAATAGAAAATCTAATTACAATTCAAGAGGCGGAGAGCCTTCATCACATTTTTGTATCATTGACCACGTCAGTAATCTATTGATAAATTAATAACCTCTTAAAGTAATAATTTTCTCGATTCAATATTATATTTTATAGAGATTTTACTTTACCATTATTCTTTCGTAAAAGTGCAGTTTTCGCAAAACCCTAATTTCGAATCAAAGATTTTTGTTGAGTTATTTATTGGCCTTGGAAACAGTTAGATGAGAAATCTTAGCCCCTTTTTGTTTTGGTTCAGATAAAAATAATAAATTTGATAAAAGTTAATAGAATGTATAGTTCAAAAGTTGTGGATCCTACTAAATATATTATTAAAATTAATTATTGACTTTACTTTGATTTTAATTTAGAGTAATGCTTTGTAGCCGTACTGGGATCACAACCTTAATTTAAACGTTGCTAAATAATTGGCTAAATGAATTTGGAATTAATTCCACATATTATTTAATGTTACGTTAACGTCATCTAGATCGAGGTTATAAAGTTAGTGGCATTAAATAGTATTACTCTTTAATTTAATGATTTAGCTTAACCAAGTAGGGGTTTAATTGGAAGAAATTTTGAGTCTTTGACTAGACTGTCAATTAAATTCTTGATTATTCCATTCCCAAATCGCAGTTAGTTAAATGAGGATGCATAAAAGAAACCGTAAACCCAACCTCCAAAGCATGCTGCAAAATCTAGGAAACATTTGGTAAGACTTTTAGAGATGAAAAATATCTTCTTTTTTCTGTTCAAAAATTTGAATTATTTTGATTTTCGCAAAATATGCAGTTAATATTATATTTTGATTTTAAAAAGTAAAAGTTTAGGAAAATAAAATGAAACCAATCGGAGGTAATTTTTTTGATTTTCATTTCTCAAATAAAAGACTTTGTTCTGTCACTTTCAGAAATTATCTCTTCTACTTACCATCTTCATTCCTTCTCCTCTCCCCACCCACCCACTCACACTCCTACTTCTGTATGTATATGTGTATGTAGTTCAGAAAGTTACAAAACTGCATCAACTAATCTGAAGTACCATTAACAATTGAAACCTTCAACACAAGAATAATTTCTCTTTTTTTTTCTGAACCCCAGTAACCATGACAGAACCCTACTACAGTTTCTCAAGAAGATGGTTCAACTTCATTCCTCTCCATTCACCCTATTCTTCTTCATCAAACACTTCTTATTCACATCATGCTCATAATTTAAGCCAATCCATAAGCCATACAGTTTCTCAGCAAATTCCAATTTCACCTCATCCACAAGAAGCTCTTCCTCTTCTTAATAACCTCAGCCCCTCAAAAGATGAGCATCAGCCCTCATGCTGTGCCATAGGAAATGAGGGCAGATCCCTTAGCACTGGCTCTGATGAAAGTCTCACTATAGACTTAAATATAGGGCTTCCTAGCCCTAATTCTGATTTGGCCACCAAGATTTCTTCATCTGGGGTAAATGTATTCTCAGAGTTGCCCAAGAACAGCATAAACAAGGGTCAATATTGGATTCCAACACTTACTCAAATTCTTATGGGACCAACACAGTTTTCATGTCACCTTTGTTCCAAGACTTTTAACAGATTCAATAACCTGCAGGTAAATTTACTGAGCATTTTAGCACTATTCTGGGCTAAGATCCTAATTTTAATTTTCTCATCTAGGTTTTAGTTATCTGTTTAAGGACATGGAATAAAAAAAGCACCATTAGATCATTTTTTTCATGAATCAATGGGAGAGCTCCCATGAATAAATTCAGAAATTGAAGCTATGAATAAGTTTCAAAATTTCTTTAATACACGCTTTCTTACTTCCCTGTTTTTTTGTTTTTTTGTTTTTTTTTTAACTAAATTGTACTGTACTTGTCATCTACCGACATAATTTTCCACTGGGGCAGCACATATTCAAGTCATGAGAACTTTGTTAAATTCTTTTTTACTTGTTTTTGAAGTCAAGACATTAGAACTTTGATCCCTTCACAAGTACAACCACAAAACATGTTTGGAACAAATCAATTCCTAAGTTATTTTCTTGGCAATTAAAACCAGAACCCAACTATTTTCACTTTTCTCTGAAATTGGAGTTCGTGAAAACTTTGTAACTTCTCGATTCCATAATTTTAAGTGCACCATTTATAGATTTTGCTTTAGTTTAGCTTTGGACCAGAAAAAGTGGCATTTTTTTTTTGGTAGCTGACTAAAAATGTATATGTGAGTTAGGCATAATTAGGTGTTTTTGTTATTCTTGGATTTCTTTATCACCAGGACTAGCATTCTGGGACTTCATAGGATTTTTTTTTTGGGCGATATCCAACCATAAACTCGTACTGAGAAAGATCACCACGAATGAATGGCGAAATGAAAAGCAGGATACAATTTACGAAACTATGGCTTCTAGTGCTGCAAAGTGGCAAATTCTAAGGCATTGATTATTTCCTAGTTCATATCTTTCTCTTGTTCTGAACATGGCCATTTTTTTCCTTTCTTTATTTTCTTATTAGTCCACTTCCACTTCTTTTTATTTTGCCATTTTGGGGCTTTTTTTTTCTTTTCTTATTGAGGTGTTGGGAGTATTAAGACTTGATGTTTCATGTTGAAAGGTTAATCTTGTCATGGGGAGTAGTTCAAGCTCTTAAATGTTGATTATCTTTAATCAATGTGTAACTAATGAAATTTATCCTTAACAGAGGGAAGGGGGATGGGAGACTATTCAAAACTTCTGAAGTTTGTGCTTACTCTTAGGTGGAACTGACAATGTGCCGTATATTAATCCAGATGTTTTTTCATCCCTTCTGAACTGCAAAAATATAAATAATATCCACTGCACTCTTGTTAATTTCTCTTTCCCCATGAAAAATGCTACTTGTACACACTTGGTACACAACTCTTTCACATGTGTGTGGGGTCCCACTGGTGATGCATAATTTCAACACAATTTTCTTAAGAAAAAGTACAAACATTGGACAGCTATGAGGCAGTTCTGTTTTTACTACATTAATTAATCTGCAAGTGCTTTTATTTCTCAACCCTCACTCCCCTGTCTATAATAATTGAAATAATGATTAACATAATGCCACTTAACACTTTATCAATGGACTGTTTAAAATATAGTAATCTTTTCCATCAAATCACCTCCCACCACCTAGGATTCGGCACTACTTCTACATTATTCTTGCAAATTGGTTTATCCCTTTTTCTTGTTTGTGTGTGCTACTGTAAACTGCATGTCTCAGTACAGACATTTATCTGTTTGTCTGAATGTAAGATGAACAAGCCTACATTTTCATAAATTGAAATTTGAAAGAAGTCATGTAAATAAAGTTGAATTTAAGTAAATAAATTGTGGGCTGGTGATAAAAAATTAATGACTTGCACGTGAGAGGCTTATTGAAGACGTAATTTAGATGAGTTGGTTATACATTACATGAAGTTGTTTAAGTCTCTTTTTTCTTAACCTTGTATGTCGTAAAATGTTTTCAGATGCATATGTGGGGACATGGATCCCAATACAGAAAAGGAACTGAATCTTTAAGAGGAAACCAACGAAGCGCAATGCTAAAGCTGCCATGCTATTGCTGTGCACAGGAATGCAAGTACAATATTGACCATCCTAGAGCAAGACCTCTCAAAGATTTCAGAACCCTACAAACACATTACAAGAGAAAGCATGGAACCAAACCCTTCATCTGCAGAAAATGTGGGAAGACATTTGCAGTGAAGGGTGATTGGAGAACGCATGAGAAGAATTGTGGTAAGATTTGGTACTGCATATGTGGCTCTGATTTCAAGCACAAAAGGTCTCTCAAAGACCACATTAAAGCGTTTGGACTCGGCCATGGAGCAACAGGAATTCAAACTGATTTTGAAGATGAGGATGATTCAAGTTCTGATATTGTGCTCAAATGATATGAGTTATTGTTTTAGACTTTTATTGCATAATTAACTTTAATTAGTTCAAGCAATCATTAATCACGGTGTGTAAACTAACTTATTGAGCTAGAAAAGATCTAGAAGTCTCATATTGAGCTGGAATCGCTTGACTCATTATATAATTCCTTAACACACAGGCCCTTCAAACAGAAGAGGGAGTTTATCTTACGATAAATTGATAGGCTTTTAGGTACATATTTGAGTTCTTACCATATGTAAGTTGGGAAGTATCTGGTTTTTTGTAAATTGTGTATGATGTATCTCACGAAATGCATGCCAATCTTTATATGTATTGTTGACCCTGAAAAATGGCTCGAACTCGTGGCCAACAGAATAAGTCTTCACGTAAGCTTCTCCATGCGCACAATAGCATAACGTTAGTCACTCGTGGCCTTTTCCGGTGGAGTTGGAAGCGGCCGCGAGCACTTCAATGGTCAAGTTAGCGTTTCAAGTAATCGAGAAGTTATGTCCGACGGCGAGGTGGTCATTGGAATGTTTGAGTGTACGTTGAAAGTTATGATGTAAAGCTAGCGACCCTACTCTTACCAGTATGAGGGTATTTATACTAGGAAATGGAAGAGATGGACCGTTGGATGAAGGGACGCGTGGCATCAGATCCTCGAGAGTTGTCTCATCCTAGGTGTCATCCGCCACTCAACAGGTTGGCGGTCATTAAATGATTTTTCACATATCAGTTGAGTTGACCGTTTGTAACCTGCCACAAGTCCCATCAGTTAGTCAAAAACTTGACTTCGAAGATCCCAAAAAAAGATCTTGATAGAGAAGTAGCGAGGTGGAAAGATTATGGAATGCGGGCCTTTGCATTTGCTGTGAATGGCGGATGAGTTCGATTTTTCTATGAGGTGAGGTAATAGTGTCTCAGTTCGGGGTGAAGGAATCAGTTCGTTCGTCATGGATTCAGTTCGTCTTCCACGTGGCACGGGTCAATTCGGCCAACACTTGGCGGATGAGGTGGATGGACGAGGTGGAAGGTCTCAGAAGGCCCGTAACATGTATCATTTTGATATGATAAAACTGGATTTTTAGTTTATGATCACGAGGAATATGTTAAGTCACATAAAGCCTATGTTTGAGCCACATTCTCATTTTTCTATTCATTTTCAATCACATATTCTTTAATAAAATAATATTTTCCATCACATCAATAACTTTTCCTTCTTTTTCAACTGCATATTCACATCACATCAAAAAAAGTATTCTCTCCTAAAAAATGTGCATCAAACACAAGTATAGTTCTTTAGCTGTGATGTTGTCATTGCATTTACAAACTGGATAACTTATTTTCTTTTACAACTTTAACTAGAGGTTTGGCTTAGCTCCTTGTTAAACTGAGAAGAGTAAATCAATTGAAAGAAGAGAGACGAGGGAAATCAAATTGATTCAATTGAATTCAAAATACAGAAAATGGAAAGAAGGCTAATTAACGATCAACGGAATGAACTAAGCAAAAGATAGAAATGCCCCTCACTAAGTAAAAGACAGAAATGCCCCTGAAACAACTAATTAATATCTCAACACTCTTCCTCAAGATGGCGAGTGCAAATTTAACACTTCCATCTTGCTAAGAAGCAAAGCAAGCCGTGCTTCAGTTAAAACCTTAGTCAGCAGATCTGCCAATTGCAACTGAGAAACCGTGTAAAGCATTTTAACCTCATTGGCTTGGACTTTATCTCGCACCAAATGAAAATCTATCTCTTGCTTGGTTCTTTCGTGGAAAACGGGGTTGCTGGCAATGTGGATTGTAGATTGATTATCACAAAACAATAATGCTGGTCTACTGTGATCAATTCCCAAATCATTCAATATATATTTCAACCATGTAAATTCACAGACCGCTGCTACCATAGATCTATATTCAGCCTCAGCTGAAGATCTTGATACGGTATGTTGCTTCTTAGATTTCCATGACACTAGAAAACTCTCCAAAAAGATACAATAACCTGTGACCGATCTTCTTGTATCTGAACATGACGCCGAGTCAGCATCACAATACCCCTTCAACTGAAGATCAGATTTACTAGGAAAGAATAGCCCCTGTCTTGGTGTACTCTTCAGGTATCGCAGTATATGGTAGGTTGCCTCCAAATGAGGCTGTCTTGGAGACTGAAGAAATTGACTCAAAACCTTTTCAAGATAAGAAAGATTTGGCTTGGTTATGGTTAAGTACAAGAACCTTCCAACAAGTCTTCTGACACTACTGGGATCAGCTATAGGTTCTCCTTCATCCTTTCTAAATTTTAAATTATATGGCAAGGGGCTACTAGCTGGTTTAGCACCAAGATACCCAACATCTGTCAGAACATCTAACGTATACTTTCTCTGACATATTGATATGCCTGTTGAGTTCCTTGCCACTTCAAAACCCAGGAAGTACTTCAGAATGCCTAAATCCTTAAGCTTGAACTGCTTATTTAACAAATCCTTGAATTGATCAATGTAAATCAAATCATTTCCCCCAAGTATAATGTCATCAACGTAGATTAAAAGGATGGTCAATGAGCAGCCATCCGTCTTGCTGAACAAATAATGATCTGATTTTGATTGTTTAAAACCATGTGATAAAATATAAGAAGTCAGTTTCACATTCCATTGTCTCGAGGCTTGTTTCAAACCATATATTGACTTGTTCAGTCGACAAACCAATTGTTCACCTTTCTTCCCCTGCTCTTCGTAACCAGGAGGCATAACCATATAAACCTCCTCAGCCAATTCACCATGGAGAAAGGCATTGTTAATATCTAATTGGTGAAGATGCCATTCCTTAGCAGCCGCCATTGCCAAAAGAGTTTTTACAGTCACTAGCTTTGCAACTGGAGAAAAAGTCTCCTCATAATCTAAACTAACTTGTTGAGTAAAGCCTTTGGCCACCAAACATGCCTTTTTCCTCTCTTCAGTGCCATCAGAATTCATTTTAACCTTGAAGACCCATTTACAATCAACTGGAGTCTTGTAAGCAAGAAGCATTGTAACGTCTCAGATATTGTTGGAAACTAAAGCATTATATTCATCATCCATGGCTGCAATCCAATCCGGATGGTGAGAAGCTTCAGCAAAAGATTTGGGCTCAAAAACAGTAGACAGAGCCAGTGTAAAATTTCTGTGATGAGGAGATAATTGATCATAGCCCAAATGATCTTCAATAGGATATTTTATGCTGGATTTAATCTCTTTCTTCGTAGAAGCCGATTGAGGTGACAATTGAGACATGAGACTACAGTGGTAATCTTTCAGATAAGAGGGAGCACGTTTGACTCTGGTGGATTTTCTGATAGGTGTGACAGGTAAAGAGGTAGGATGAAGAGATGGACTATTGGCAGAATCCACAGGGGAAGAATCAATTGGAGAGTTGTGAGGGGTCAAAACATGATGATTGTCTGTAATAGGGTTGGAAGAAGGTTCATCCATATGCTGAAGATTTCTGATAGGAAACAAAGTGGGGATTGGGTCAACTGAACTTTCAGATTTTGATAGGAAATGAAGAAATGAAGGATGATGAAAGGGAAAGATGTTCTCAAAAAAAGAGACATCTCTATATAGAAAGACCACTTTAGTTTTGAGATTGAAAAGCTTATAAGCTTTTACTCCAAAAGGGTAGCCAAGAAAGATGTAAGGCACTTTCCTTGGGTCAAATTTTGATCTATTCCTTCTCAAGGTAGAAGCATAGCACAGACATCCGAGGACTCGTAAGTGGTTGTAGAAAGGAGTTGTCTGAAATAGTGTTTCATAGGGAGTTTTCTTTTCGAGAAGACTGGTGGTGGGAGTCCTATTTATGATATAGGTGGCAGTTAAGAGACAATCTTCCCAAAATTGGTGAGGAAGGTTAGCTTGAAACTTAAGAGCTCGAGCAACATTGAGCAAATGTTGATAATTCCTCTCGATTACCCCATTTTGCTGAGGTGTTTCGACACAGGTAAGCTGATGAATAATGCCCTTGGAAAGGTAGAAATCAGTCATTTGAAATTCTAATCCATTTTCAGATCGGATGGTTTTTATGTTGCACTGAAAGTGAGTCTTAATAAGATGATAGAAGGACTGAATGAGGACTCTAGCCTGAGACTTGTTCTTCATGAGATAAGTCTAAGTCATTCGAGTAAAATTATCAACGATAGTGAGAAATTATTTCGAACCATTCAAGGAGGAGACTGAATAGGGTCCCCAAATGTCGCAATGTACAATTTTAAAGGGCCTGAATGTTTTAGTGCCACTTTTAGGAAAGGACAGCCTATGCTGTTTAGCTAATGGACAAATAGGATAATGCAGGTTTTTATTGACATCAATATCAGGAATAGATTTATTCAAAAATGAGAGTTTAGGGGTGGACAAATGTCCTAATCAACAATGCCAGATATTTATATTCATTGTGAAATCAGTACCATCAATGGTATTACAAACAGGAATAGGCTTATTACAATCAAGATGAAAATTTGAAAGGAGAATAGCAGGAACAACAGGAACAGATTGAAGACGTTGCTGATGATGTGAAAGTTGAACAGCAGGAACAGAATTGGGATTTGATTGTTGGAAGTAATATAATCCATGCTCAAGTCTGCCTACCTCAATCATCTTCCACGTTGAAGGATCCTGAATAAAGCAAATGTCATGAAAAAAAGTCAGATAACACTGATGCTAGTGAATCAACTTACTCACAGATATCAGGTTAAATTTAAAAGACGGCACAACAAGCACATTTTGTAAGCATAAAGTAGAAGACAACTTCACTTCTCTAATATGAGTAATTGAAACTAAAGCACCATTACGTAACCTCATAGAAGTACCAAGAATATCTGTCACATTAGTCAGACTTTTAACTAAATTAACCATGTGTTCAGATGCACCAGTATCTATGATCCATGAACTATATACTGATGCATTATCAAATTGAAATCGACTACCTGAGAAAGCAAATGAATCAGTATCTGTTGCAGAAGAACTTATATTCTGAGGCTGTGCATTTT